CGCACAAAGTCCTCTCCACTTTGGGCCACGGTGGAGCCGTGTCGCCCCTTCAGGGCTCCTTCCCTCGCCACTCGGGCTTCCCTCCATCCCTCTGCCCTCCGCACACCGGCCAGCCCTCTCGCTGACCTCCATCCTCACTCTAAGGGGCCCCATGCAGAATAGCGCCTCTCACTGGTAGCCCGGAGGAGCTACAGGCTGACTCAGATGGGAGCTGGGCAGCACCCTTTCCTCTCTCCCCACTTGGGTCTCGATCCCTCCTGACGCTGGGGGAGGGGCCCCACAGCTGCCGACTAGACACCCCACCTTGTGCCGCTGGCTGGAGGGCATGGAGGGCATTCAGTGGGGGGCCAGCCGGGCGCGGTTGGTCTGCCTGAAGGCCGGAAATCATTCTCACCTCTTCCTCGTTCCCTGGCCTAGAAGAGGTGACAGGAGGCTCTCGAAGCCATGTCCCTGCCACTGGGCACTCGTATCAGCCCGTGTCTCTTCCAGAGTCACCTCCCTCCCTACAAAGCGGATATGCCGTAAACTCCACTGGAATATACACTCCATCAGGGGAGCTGTTTTTAATATTTCCCCAGAGTCTAAAACAGTGCCCGGCTCACAGTAGGTGATCAGTAAATATTTGCTGAATGGACATCCTCTTTTGAAGTAATCGCAGCCAGTAAAATACTTTCAACCCCGATGAACATGCAATTGGGCAGGAAGACATTTTTTGGATGAACATTTCCAAAGATTTAATTTTTTTTCTTTACTTTGCCCATCTCCTCACAGAAACTTAACTTAATTTTTTTTTTTTTTTTTGTTTTGAGAGAGTGAGTGCAGGCAAGTGAGAGTTTAGCAGCAGGGGAGAGGGGCAGAGGGAGAGGGAAAATCCTAAGCAGGCTCCATACTCCTCGCAGAGCCTGATGCAGGGCTCAAGTCCACAAACTCTGAGATCATGACCTGAGCCAGAATTGGGAAGCTGACACTCAAATGAGGCACCCAGGCGCCCCTAACATTTTAATAGCTCCTCAAAATTGTCCTCCCAAAAGGCTGTATCCATGTACATTCCCATTCCATACCCTTATTGGTTTTTAATTAATTAATTAGAGAGAGAGAGCTAGAGAGGAAGCAGGGGAGGGCAGAGAGAGGGAGATGGAATCCCAAGCAGGTTGCATGCTGCCAGCACAGACCCTGATGCGGGGCTTGAACTCACAAACTGTGAGATCATGACATGAGCTGAAACCAAGAGTCAGATGCTTCACCGACTGAGCCACCCAGTCGCCGTAATACCGTTATTGATTTTTAGAGATCTCTTTTATTTTTTACCAATCTGTTGGACAAAAACCATTATCTCATTGTTAGAATAAAAATGTTCAGTTCAATCCTTGGGGCCAGGAAATTGTGAGTGATTCACTTTAGTAACATAACCCCATGTATAGTAATAATACAATTGCTATGTATTCTGTTACTTAGTAACTATTTTACATCGAGTAATAATCAGGAATAGTTACGGATCAGTTTTCTCCACATATTCCATCATGATCTTTATTTAAACAAATTTTTTAGGGGTGCCTGGGTGGCTCGGTCGGTTAAGTGTGTCTGACTTTGGCTCAGGCCATGATCTTGCGGTCCCTGAGTTCGAGCCCTGCTTCGGGCTCGGTGCTGACAGCTTGGAGCCTAGAGCTTGCTTTGGATTCTGTGTCTCCCTCTCTTTCTGCCCCTCCCCTGCTCATATTCTGTCTCTTTCCCTCTTAAAAATAAATAAAGATTAAAAAATTTATTAAAAATATTTATTTATTTATTTTGAGAGAAAGAAGGCGAGAGAGAGAGCAAGTGTGAGTGGGAGAGGGGCAGAGAGCGAGGGAGAGAGAATCCCAAGCAAGCGTTGTGCTGTCAACGCAGAGCCTGAGGCGGGGCTCAATCCCATGAACTGCGAGATCACGATGAACCAAAATAAAAAGTCAGACCCTTAACCAACGGAGCCATCCAGGCACCCTGGCCCACTGTGCCTTTTAGATGTAAAACACAAGAATCTGGAGTCTTGGAGTGTACAGGGGAATGACCTCTGCCTCCCCCTGCTCACCTTCTCTTCTCCAAAGTGGCTCCAGTGAGTTCTTTGGAGCCACAGTCTGTCCTTCCTCCATGTCCCTTCCTGCCACACAGCAGCTGTGTCCTGGAATGACACGTCAAATGGTCCAATCTCAAGCAGCAGTGCATTCTCTGCTCCCCAGCCTCTGGATTTCTCCTTTGATAGGTTCAGAACGTGTCAGCTGAAGTTGGTTTTGTCCTTTGCTTGACTTTGAGGTTTTCATCAGGGCCATCTTCGGGTACAGCCATGGGCTGGATCCCGTCTTAATCTGTCCAAGCTCACACATCACCTAGGACAATGGTTTCTGCAGAGAAGTGCATTTTAAAAGGAAGAAGAGCTGTAAGTGCATTTGGGATTTTACACTGTTTAAACAGCATGTCTATTTCCCTCCCTTACTTCCATCTAGACTCCGTATGTTCTTTGCTCTATTTTTTCTCAACCTCTATTCAGGATAATATAAAAATGGCGGCTGTAAAAGATTCGTCCCCCTGTAAGTTTTCTCCAGGCCTGGTTCTTTGTTACTCACAACATCTAGCTTAGAATGATTTAGTGGCTCTGGGGCGCCTGGGTGGCTCAGTCAGCTAAGTGTCTGACTTTGGCTCAGGTCATAATCTCATGGTTCGTGGGTTCAAGTCCTGAGTCGGCTCTGTGCTGACAGCTCAAAGCCTGGAGCCTGCTCCAGATTCTGTGTCTCCCTCTCTCTCTGCCCCTCCCCAGCTCGTGCTCTGTCTGTCTCTCTCTCTCTAAAATAAACATTAAAGAAGAACCATTTAGTGACTTAGTATTAATCTCTGGTGACTGAGTTTGAATAATGGCTTCCTCCTTTGGTTTATGCAGGATTTTAAGGGTTGTGACTTGTTTTGCTGGTTTCAGATTAATTCTGTATTTGTATCAGAAAGGCATTTGCTTGAAAATTTGATTGTTTCATTTTCTAAAGTGAATTGGAGCAGAATTCCTTTTCTTTCCTTTTACCCAGTCCAACTACTACAGAATCTGTATTTTGCTCATTTTAGTAATATTACTCTGTTATTGCTTTTTTTAAATATTTATTCATTTTTGAGAGGCAGAGACAGAGAGCATGAGTGGAAAAGGGGCAGAGAGAGAGGGAGATGCAGAATCTGAAGTAGGCTCCAGGCTCTGAGCTGTCAGCACAGAGCCCGATGCCAGGTTCGAACTCATGGACTGTGAGATCATGATCTGAGCTGAAGTCAGCCACTTAACTGACTGAGCCACCCAGGGACCCCTTACTCTGTTATTTCTAAAGTGTGCAAGTTTTGGCCACAAGGTACCCCAACAGGACACTGCTATATGTTTAGCTAAGAACCATTCTTTCTTCAGGATACTCCTTATTTTGGATATTCTAGTAACTTTGGCTTGAAGATTTCCCTCTTTCATATTTTCTAATCTATGCTTCTGGACACGAGTGGATGGTTTAATGGTTTAGAGTATAGGCTCATGAACAAGGGCTTGGTTTCAGATCTTACCTCTGCCACTTCCTAACTGTGTGATCTTGGGGAAGTTCCTCAAACTCTCTGAGCCTGCTTTCTCTTGTGTAAAACGAAGTAAAAGCAGCTACTCCATCTCCACCATCGCCACAAGGGGTTAACACACAAGTTAAAATAGCAGTTGGTTGGCACGTGGTAAGTGCTGATGTGTTTGCCATTACTATTCAGTCCTTTCTGAAAGAAAAAACATTCCTTTCTTCTGTGGTTATTTAGACTTACTCAGAGTCTCATTTTATAATTGAAAACTGAACAAATTAAAATAGAAGAAAGAATCACTCAATGCTCAGTTACTCAACCAAACCCTATATGGAAAAGGCAAGATTGTTTCTCTAAAATAATTAACACCTGATTCATCCATTAGAATTTTTGAAAATGTGTGGACTAAGAAGAATCAGCATGATGGGATTCATCTATGTGTCGTTTTTAGGTGCTTTGGAGTTTTTCACGCCATTGGTTGTTATCATTCAGCAGAAAGAATATTTCTTCCTCCCTCACTCCCTCCCTTTCCTCCCTCCCTCCCTCCC